CCTTGGGAAGGAGGAAGCAGGGCCTCAGGAAAGGCGCGGCCTTGGGAAGGAGGAAGCAGGGCCTCAGGAAAGGCGCGGCCTTGGGAAGGCGGAAGCAGGGCCTCAGGAAAGGCGTGGGCTTCTCGCCAGCCTCTCCAAGCCGCCAGCCAGCCGAGGACAGAAGCTGCAAGCTTAATTAAAAGCCTCTAATTATAAAACTCCAGCATTCCAACTGGCAGCAGTGTTTGCTTTAGGAGCCCAAAGGCATCACGGTCCACAGAGCACATGATAATCCTCCAGGAAGCCAGCGTGCGGGACCCCGGACCGGACCGGACGGCAGCTTGGCCCGGGGACCTGTGGCCCGGTTTGCTGTACCCTCATAGCTCCACCGGAGACGGGTGAGAGATCCAGGTCCAGCCCTATAAACCGGAGCTGGCTGGGGGAGGGAGAGGAGCCGGGACTCACAGCCAGATGGCAGAGCGCCCGCCAAACACTCAGGCCGTTACAGCTCCCCCCGGCTCTGCTGCCACTCCAGCAAGCAGCCATTAAAATGGGTGATTCAGGAAAGACACACCTCCGCCCCCCCCCGGCCCCCAACCCAGCAGCACCCCCCCCCCCCCCCCCCGGCCCCCAACCCAGCAGCCACGCCCCCACAACTCCACTCAGGGCCTTATTTCTACATCCAGTCCTACCAAACATCTTTATTTCCATATTTATATGTATTTTATTTCCATATTTATAGCTGTATTCATTTTACCGATGGCCCCGTCCTCTTTGTCCAATGTCTTGTTGTGTTAGATTACCCAGCCTGCAAGAAACACTCAAGAAAGCATCGCATTGTACTTGGTACTTGTAACAGTACAAATGACACTAAACCTTTTGAATCCTGAAGTTCAAAAGAGTAAATGTATAAATACAATTCATTCTTGGTCACGGGCTGAAGCTGTTCGAGCCATGAATCTGGGTAAAAATCATCACCACACAACTTTCCGCCGGGGCCAAAAATCCAGGCAACCAATAAGGTCACATTTAATGCGACACTTCCTGTCATTTGGAAGTAACCAGGGCCAGGACTCGGGATCTCCCAGCATGCACCAGTCCCACTCCGCTTTTCACAAAGGAAGCAAAATTGTGGGCTCATGCACTGTGGCTAATGGAAGCCCTTTGCTGATCAGAGTGACACACAAAGGGCTGCAGCACTCAGCGGGGGGGTGGGGGGGGGGGTCCAGGATGAGAAAATGCTCACAGAGACACACAGCGGGGTGACAGCTGAGCAGGCAGCGTGCGAACAACGCAACTCGAAGCAATTCAATCCTTTCACCGCAAATTACATTGATAGTAGATATAAAATCGTACGTGTCTAAGTCATTCTGTCTGGCACGTTCGGGCTCCCACGCAGTGCACGGGGATGGTCTTCATCAAATGCACGTTTATTTACGTCTTTTATTTAAAACTTATTTTCCTTTACATCCATTTTGTTTGATAAATGGTTTTCTGTGTATTAAGGTGACTTGGATATAATACTATTAAAATTTATAACAGAAAGTTACTAGGTAAGAAAGTGACCTAAAAAGCAGACAGTTTGAGTTCACGGTCGAGTGAGAAGCTGAGCGGCTGTACGGTATCGAGGGCGGCGGAGTTTCGCTTTGTCTCTCACCTTCGCACCCAGACTCGCCACGCAGCCGTTGTGGGGCATCTCGCTCGCCCCCATGGGCCGTCTGTTGGCACGGGGAGGGTGAGGCGTCGGCGCAGTTAACCCACATGCCTTTAACAGCTAACATGTTTCACCCGGTTTCACATTCTCACCCGCGGCCTGCCAGTTTAATGCTTTACTGACATGACCTCCGCAGGTGTGAGAGAGAAGCGAGTGTCATTCACAAGCCTCACAAGTGCCCAAACTGTTTACACACGTAGACGCAGCCCCCCCCCCCCATCACATTCTAGCCACCTGTGACCTATCACACAGCAGCACCCTCTGATCGCAGCCCCAGCTCGGGTGAGCAGAGCGGGGGCTTGTGTTAGCGACTAAAACGGCCGCGACGAAGCGGCAGAGGGAAGTGAGTTATTAGTGTGGCGCCACATAATCAGAGCAGCTCATTGTGCCCGGGGTGTGCCAGCTGGGGCGGCCTGGACCACGCCCACCACCGCCCGATGCCACCCTCATACCGCTGTGCATCCAGGGAGCGCACCAAACCAGTGACCGACACGGCAGACAATCCCAGTACGTCCCGGCTGGAGCCCCCTGGTGGATAAATAGGGCTCATCTGCCACTTTAGATCAGCTCTGAGGAAAATCGACAACCAGACAAGATACCACAGTTTAGGGAGCAGCAAGTAAGGGAGACGCTGAGAAGACACACCTCCTCCAGGCTTCCACAGTCCTTACAAAGGAGGAGGCAGGTAGAGGCGGAGTCAGAGCAGGCCATGTGATTCCCCACAAGCCCCACCCTCTCAGTGAGACACACATCAACGCACCAGCGGTGACGAGCGAGTCCTGCTAGCAACGTGGCCGACCGAGTCAGCAGACACAAACTCAGCGGAGGGGTTTCAAAGAAGGGAGAAAAAAAACCTGGTTCGTACGATGCCGAAATTGAGAGGCAGAAACCATGGCAGAGAGTGCGAGCGGAGGGGACTGAACCGGAAATCACCGCCATGCCGCATGAGAAAACTAAGCCAAGTATCCCCAGATGCCAGGTCTGTCAGCGCCCCCCGGGGGGGGCCCCGCTTACCCGTCTTTGCCCCGGTTGTGGATGGTCAGCGCCCCCCATGGAGGGCCCCGCTTACCCGTCTTTGCCCCGGTTGGGGATGGTTAGCGCCCCCCAGGGGGGGGCCCGCTTACCCGTCTTTGCCCCGGTTGTGGATGGTCAGCTCATCGCGGATGCCCTCCTCGTCCTTGAAGGCGTCCCAGTCCAGCCGGGATTTCTCCAGCGTGCTCATCTTCTGCTTCTTCCCACCGATGCGGTTCAGGAAGTTGCCCAGTCCTGCAGGTCTCTTCACGCTGTGGGGGGGTGGGGGTGTCACACAAAAATAGGTCAGCCTGCATCCAAACCTTACAGCCACGCTGTGGGGAGACTAGGAGAAAGAGGCCAGCTATTTCCAGATATCCTGCCCCCGGTTCAGCTGCTGTATCTCACCGCTGACCAATCAGACGACACCTGAACACATGCCAGTACGATCGCTGCTTCCCCGGGGGGGGGGGGGGCTCGTCGTCACAGTGAAGCCCTGGAAGCTCAGTGTCTTGTCACAGCAACTAACCCCCCTCCACCAGAGGCGACGTGCCCAGAAGGGCTTTCCTCTAGAGAGGTTACAAGGTGGTCCTCATGTAAACACACGGCTACAGTCTGCAAATTAAAATAATAGCACTAATTACTCGCTATCAAGCGAGTCACACTCAGCTCTTACATTTCTTACATTATCCCCCCCAGAATTGCGGGCTTTTCAATAACTGGCCACCTCTGGCGTGTAAATTGTTCTTCCACGCACCATTGCCGCCTGAGTATGTCTGCGCCCATGCGCACGTGTCTCAGCAACACGCCCGCCCGCATGTGCGATCGCGGCCCGCTTTCAGGAAGCCGTGTGCCTGCCGATTTCCTCACCCCATGACCGTTCTGTGTGGCTTAAGAGGGGCCATAATTCATACAGAGGGACCAACCTTATCTTTAGCCAATGATATGTTTTGAATCGATGAGTGACAGGGGATGGGCGCTATGGGGGCCAATCAGCTTTCAGTTTGGGCCTGTGCCCCTGTGGCCCCACCCCTGTCCTCAACACTGCAGAAAGTGCTACCCGAATATCACATACAGCTCAATGGAGAGGAGTGTTCAGCTTTAAAGAGAGGGTAGGGACACTTAAAGTCATCCAGCACATGTGGAGAGCTGCAAGGCCTGGCTCAATCACACACACACACACACACACACACACACACACACACA